TTTTATAATTTTGATAGAATAAATATGTTTATCGATTTTTTTTTAAAAATTATTTAATATGGTTGTGTATATCTTAAACTTTGAAAGCGACATAGTTCGAAACAAAGGGTTGGAGTACTCTCCAACAAACCATAAATCTTCTCTTGCCAAGAGGAGTAGAGTTTGGAAGACGGCCAACTCCGAGGCCTAAATATAGACCACCAATCGTAGCCAATGAAGCATGTCAGCGAATTTCTCCAGAGACCAAGCATAGCACAAAACTGGCATAGAAGAGGAGGCAACACCATCACCACCACAAAGACCGCCACAACGTTGATCTCGCCGGAAAAACTTGCCCCATCCACATATCTCCCAACCCCTAGAGGATATATAGCAAGGGAGAGACATCCATCATATCTATGGCATATAGTCACTTACCGCATGACCAAGCCGATGCCAACAGATCCACCGCCGTAACATGAACCAGATCGAGCCACTACGAACACCAAAGGGAGGAAATATGATATCTATCAATACTCTGATGCGAGCGAGTACTCTTCTAGCCTCTCTTCTTCTCTCATCTATCCTTCCAGCCAGCTGAGGCTTGAAAGAGGATAGATCCAAACGGGTCTAGCTCTCAGATCCGTGGAGAACCTCCACAATACCCACCATAGGTCACCCAGGAGCACTTGAGGCAGCCGAAAAACTCCACCGAGAAGACAAGAAGACTGAGAAGCTTTTTGGTGAGGAATTCTTCACCGCGTTGAAGATACGTTGACCCTAAAAGATGGAGAAGGCGTGGCCTCTCACATCACCGACTGAAACCAGGCGCCGAAAAAGCAGATCAAAATAAAATTTGTGGTTTGTGGTTAAGGGTAACGTAGATGAAATAGAGAAAATAGAGAGACTTTCTCTCACTAACTTCTCTTTGTTTTTTTTAAGCTAATGTATCGATTTGTAATCGATTTTTTAAAGAAAAATTTACTTAGAATAACCTACTTTTTAAAAAAAAATAGCTAGAATAACCTTACCATTTTTTATTGCTGAAATAACCTATTCTGAATTTTTTTCTTTCATAATACCAAAATTGTCTTTGGTAGACTCTGCCGAACATTGGTAGACTCTGCCAATGTTCGGCAGAGTCTGCCAATGTTTTGGCAGAGTCTGCGTATTTCTAGATATTGGCAGAGTCTGCCAATACATCGGTAAGTCTACCAATGTTTCCGCAGAGTCTGCCAATGATTCGGTAGAGTCTGCCAATACCTCGGCGGAGTCTGCCAATGTTCGGCAGAGTCTGCCAATGTTTTGGCAGACTCTGCGTATTTTTAGATATTGGCAGAGTCTGCCAATGTTTCGGCAGAGTCTGCCAATGTTTCGGCAGAGTCTGCAAAAGACAATTTTGGTATTATGAAAGAAAAAAAATCTAGAATAGGTTATTGGAAATAAAAAATAGTAAAGTTATTCTAGTTATTTTTTTTTAAAAGTAGTTTATTCTAACTAATCTCTTTTTTTTTTAAG